GGGAGCTTCAAGAGAAGAATTATCTGATGAAACTCAAGTATTCGGTCGCGCTCTATCAAGTAAAGTCCCTGAGTCATTCATTCGTTCATTCGTGTCATTCATTTGCGTATGGGAGATGGGGTGACAGAAACGAACTTGCAGGAGGAGCTGAAACCTCAACTCCGCGTGGTGGAAACGATCTTCGAAACGTAATAATGGGGAAAGGGGACAAGTTATCCATTTGGAAGCAATGGATCGTCGGAGGAGTTGAGTTGAAACCGCAAGTCAACGTTGAAGGAAGCGTCGGCGACATGTAAACCGAGTAGACGAGAACAATAAGGGGCTATTCATTAAAGAAAAGCGATCGATGTTAGCCTCAATGGAAGTACAATAATGCAATGTAAACATGTTGAATCTCTCTGCAGGTTGTGATTTACAAGATTTTCAAGTTATGTTAAATAAATTTGTCTCTGTCTCTTCACTGATGCTGTAATCGCTGTGGAAGGTACAGTGCTGGAAACTCGGTAGCAATATCGGTCGTCCGGTAGGTCGTTAGTCATGTTGGCCGTGATTCGGTGCTCGCGCGTCGCTGTTAGTGCCCTAGTGCTGAGGGCTTAGTGCTGTAGCGGTCTGCCTCTCTCAAAGTCGATGCCGCTGCTCAAGGCTTTCCTCTCTCAAAGTCGCTGCCGCTGCTGCTTGGGTCGCTGCGAGAGAGTCCTGCCGATTCGAGGCGCTGTATTACGTCACATCCGTCCGAGTGACTACGTCACATCCGTTACACTTTGCCCTCTCTCAATTCTCGCCGACAGGCGAGTCCAATGACGTCCTTCGACGTCAAAACAGGTGGCATCGTGCAGGCTCACCGGGAGATATCGGAAAGGGCCCAACTTCACGCTGAGAGCGAGAATGTCTTCCGCGGAAGCGTTCTCACCGCCGCTTTGAAGAAGCCCTCGTGGACCTAAGGGACGAGAAGAGCTGCAGCCGCTCCCCGATTATTCCGAGGACGCATCCATGGGGAGGCTTCAGATAAGGACCGATGGAAGCATAGGATGCCGGGAAGCTATTTTTCCAGTCTCCTGGTGGAGTTTGCATGACCGTACGCTCAATGATGACTCAAGATCAAACAACTCCGTGGAAGCGTTTCACCGGAGTCTCCGGCGTCCGTTCGCGGCGGACAGCGCTGGGCTGCTGAAGTTCATCGATGGTCTAAGGGGAGCGCAGGTGAACAAAGACGCCCAATGAGCAAGCTACAGTGCCGGATTCGCGGCTGCGGAAAAACAGAGCCGGTATATGCAGGGCAATCAGCAATTCCGAGGATATAGATCGACAATATTCTAGTACGCTCATTGAATTCCTCCGCGGAATCGCTCATACGAACGAGATGAATCCATAGTGACCGCGACCAAATCGTTCCCTCGTGGAAAGGGGATTTCATTGTGATTTTGGTTTGTATAACGGGAGCTCATGGAATTGATATGAACATGACGCTCACGAGCGGATGGGAAGTTGATGGGACTGTAACCTTGTGAGATCGATCGAGGCATACGCGATGAGGATGGATTGATTGTTGCTCCTTAATATCCGCTGTTGTTTGCTCCTGAGAAGTTTATCGATCAGAATGGCCGTAAACTGACGGGTAGGGAATGAAACCTTCGCAAACGAGTACGAATTTGGCTTGAGCTCGGAAAGCTTCGACGGTTGCGTCTCGGAGAAATCTACATAGTTATCCCTATCCAGGGATCAGCTGAGTCAGTCATTGTTTTCCTCGACCCCATTGAAGCGCAACGAGAAACCTCCTCTCCCACTCGTCCTAAGACAGGTCCATCAGAGGTGCACCCACAGACGCCCGGGGGACACCGTGACCGAGTCGACGTGCACCGAAGGGACGAACCCGCTCTTGAGAATGAATAAAACTTATGCACATGAATCTCTCCAGGCCCGGAATGTAATCGGAGTTTGGTCGACTGCGATGAAGAGCTTCCTTCCCGCGGGAGTGATCCGGAGCTCTGCTGAACACCCTCGCGGAATAGCGTCGAGCGTCGCGCTCATAAAACACAACTCCCACTGCACCTCGATTTTGCGGTGATCGCCAAAATGATTCCCATGGGAACTCTCCCGGAAGTCCAGCGGCAGCCTCACAGCGGATTGACGGCTCTTATCGCGAAGCACAATCATGGAATCGGAATACACAGATGAATGTGCCACATTGATTGATGCTTGAAGCAAGAGTATAGTATTCTCTACGTCCCAATGGGCGGAGGAGGAACAGGTTCTGTCAGATCACATTTGATGGAACAGTCGGTGAGATTGTCATCATCGAGTTTACCGGCTGCCATCAGCGGGATATCGCTTCCTTCGAAAGTTACACCCCATCGAACCGCACCTCGCCCTGTACACGAGGCTTCCGATGCTTGACGTATCGATCAAAATGGAACAATCGGGGCTTTCGATTCTCTGGTTTCATTCCTGAGAAGAGCGCATCAGACCGCTTGTGGATCGCTCCTGTGGCTACGGCGAAAACAACACTTTCTGAGCCTCGCGGCTCGGCTTACGTAGGAGCCTATCAAGTCCGGAATCGCATCTCGGTACCCGAAATGTGCGTAGAGGGAAGCTCGGGTGGCATTGCTCAGTCGACGACTTGGCGGTCTCTCAAGTGTCTGGGGGCATCATGGTTTCCCATAGAGACGCAGAAAGGCCCCATTATTCATTGCTTTGGAGTTTAAGGGACCCTTTCGGCGCGAAGAGCGTAACCATGAGCTCGGAGTGACTTCGAGGAGGAAGGATTAAGTCGAGGTCTGAGCTACGATATCGAGAAGGCCTGCCCCGGGCATCATAGGAGTACAGTGCGCCACGCGTGAGATGCCTCCTGGCGATTGACTCGGCATTTTTGTAGAATGATGTCCTTTGTTCAGAAGAGGCAGGAAATCGGGTCGGACCCCCGGAGAGAGATTCCAGATTGATCAGCGGCACGATTCCAGGCTCTCAATGAGCATAATCGCGAGAGAAATTGACAGAACACCACTTTTGTGCTACGGAATTTGAGGCCGGAATCGAGATATGGCACCAGAACTTCCAGGACAGCCTAGACGAAGCTCTCCAACTGTCAGAGAAGGAAGATCATCCCAATCGGGAACCAGGAAGATATCTCATGTGTCCAGAGAAAATAATAATCTCCGAGTGCATAAAGAAGCCATCTGGTGTGTTTAAGGAGGCGTTTTCATCATCAAGATCGAGAGGATGAGCGAAGAGCCTTCGTTGACGCGGAGCCATCAGGAGGGAAGAGAGGGGACGGTAGGGTTTGACCTCGGAATAGGTAAATGTTGAGCTCAGCGAGGAGAAAACATTCAATCTCGGCGATCGGAACGGACTCCAAGAGTATCGTCACGATTAGCGCGGGAATTCTCGACTCCATTCCGAGAGAGACGATGCGGAGATTGCTCATTGTCAGTCATGGTCGGGGAAGCCGGTGGTCGCCGTGGGAAGCTCTGATTCATTTTCGGAGACATGTTCCGGAACGTATTTTTATGATGATCTATGAAAAAACAACAGAGAGATACATCCTTTCGCCGTGCACACAGCCACCCGGCGGGAGAGATCGAGGATCGGTCCCGAGTCAACCTTTGTTGTTTGTACCGGCCTTCGAGGAGTCCTAGTTTGAATATTGCAGAGGGCCTTTGAGGATCGTCAGTAAGGCTCGTTAATAGCAAGGATACAAAGGCGATTCTTGCATGCTAGGCCCGAATCAGAGCCGAAAACTTCGCGCCCCCCCCCGCGACGCTTCTCCACAATCATTAGGGCGAAAGCGGGGCTCCACCAAATATCCGCGGAGAGGACATATCAATTCGAAAGAGTTGGTGAATCGAAGTGTCGATAGTTTCGTCTCATGACACGTTCCACATGTCCTGAGACCTTTTACTCCTAGCCCGACAGATAGAAGCGGTCGGCTCATGGCAGAAGCCGCGCCAGGCGAGAAATATTTGATGGTGGTCTCGGAAAAAAGGGTATCGATAATTCCGGGTTCCGGATGGTACATCAGAAGAAGCTCCGTCGGGCGAGGCTACTTCACACTGACGCGAAACATTTCGGTCGCCCAACTTCCCGAACGCAGGCTGCGACGGCGGGGGCGCCCTCTACTGTGTATCTTCATACGATGACGCATCGCCAGAGAGCCTCTGAACCCTGGCTCGTTATCTACAAGAAAGAGAGATGGCCCTGTCTGATTGCTAGCTTCCCTTCTCCATTACTTGAGCTGCGAAGTACTACAAAAGATCGCAACGTTCGACAACCTGTCCACTAACTTTTTTCTCTATTGATTTCAGACCTCATAGAGACTCTGCCTTCCACCTGTCGATGGATCGCACCAACTTCGTCGCCCGAATGATTCGCTTTCCTGACTTTGAGCTCGCCGTGAATGAGTTCTTGCATGCGCTCTCAATTGGGTATTCCTAGCTCAACCCTAAATCCATTCCCTTGACTTGCAGAAAAAATCCTACTCGACTCAGGCGAAACAGTTTTGAAATGCAACTGGTGTACTTATACGACGGCACGATTGAACCACATGGAGCGACATACGCTAAGCCACACGGGAGAGAAGCCCCACTGCTGCCGTCAGTGCGAGTATCGTTGCGCACGTCTGGACGCTTTACGGCAGCATGAGAGGACACACGCACGCACAAATCCTTTGACATGCAGCAGGTGTGGCTACCTGGCTCAGGATGCCGAAGAAGCAGCTTTGCATCAGAAAGTGCACTACAACATGTGCGAGGTGTGCGGCCGCGTATTACATTCAGTTCGGGCCTTGCGTCTGCACCAACGCGAACACCTCTGGAACTGCAGCTTCTGCAAGTTCAACTCGGAGGACGCGGAAAAACTTGCGGAGCACGAGACGATGTGGCATCTCGATGTTGGAGGTCTATGATGGCAACGGCCCAGAAATTCTGGAGTCCCCGAATACTTGAAGTCTCTTCAGAGGAACACCCGTATGACGGTCCTTCGCCGATTGTGATGTGTATAAAGCACCAACGCACACTCCGCACTCTCCCGGAAAGATCCACAGACCAAGATTGCGCGGATATCGTAGAATAAGTAGGTAGTCGTCAGGCGATTCACGAGTATGAGGGGTATTTAATAAAAGAAGGCTTGCTCACATCTGACTCCTTACCGCGGCTCGCGGACTCCCATTGGAATCCTCCTTGATCACGACGTCCCTGCATGTATGATTGAAGTCGATGGAGGGATATAGCGCATCCATGGGCTCGTTACTCTGAACACTCGATGCGTATTGGAGTTTACACAATGGACGCTCACCCCGAACGAGGGGAGTGGGAAATTAGGCGAATTTCTTCCAATCGTCTGACGATTTGAGGAGAATCATGAGGAAAAACGATCCTCCTCTCGAGCCCCTCAATCGCGTGGCGGAGCATTTATGGATCCCCGAGTCATCAATTTCAGGCGCGTATTCAGGGGGGTCATTCATATTGGGGGCCGATGCCCCTCCCAAAAACCTTTGTTTCATACTACCTCTGCCGCCTTCTGGAACCGATTCCCGAGTTTTCGGGGCCGCAGTCAGCCCCCCCGAAAAAAGTTCTGAATACGCTCCTGATCATGTTCCAGCCGGGGCCCGGGGTCAACCTTCGCTAAGCCTGAAACAACAATGCTTCATGATTCATGAACTCATTACGATGAGTCGAATGGTTAAAAAAATCGAAGTCTGGTTGTCATCCAGAATCTCAGAGTCATCTCTAATGGGTCCGCAGGAGGCGCTTTGAGCTCATCTCTCTTGAGAAGGTCTGATGAGCTGATGAGTCATCCGCGTTCCTAGAACATCCGAGCGCGAATCCGATTGCGGTCATGAGTCATGACTCTTCACTTTTTCGGCTATCTCATTGCGGACTTCGGAGTAGATAGAGCGCAGAGATATTCACTGATCGACTCTTTGGCGATTGCTTGATGGACAATAATCAGAGTTACCAGATTCCCGACAATTCGCTCTGTTGGCTTCTCAATAAGGATGGACCCGAATGCATTATCCCCACTCCAACCTTATCCCTTTTTCTGGCGGCTGAGAGAAATCGTTTGAAGTGATTAAGTTGGAGATTAGGTGGTCGTCCTCCGCTATCCCAATTTTGATGAAAGTGAAATGCCCGAAATACAGGAAGTCTAATAAAAATTAATCGCAACGGGTGACGGGTGACTGAGCTCATCCTCATCGATAGGGTAGTATGGCTCGGTTGTGGCAGGGGAGGATTTCGGATGGTACTCTTATTCCAATAATTACTGCGGGACGCTGACATCTCTTCCTGCCCTGAGCCTCACCGCTGGCGCTTCGGACATCGCAGAAGGGACTGAGGGCTCGGAGGATACCGTAGGGCATCAGCATGCGCGCCAGGAATGGAGTCGCTCCCGGTCAGCGTAACCCTGCCCCTATTCGTCATACACAGGGGAAACGGGGTGTTCTCCTTGTCGAAGCTCCGAGATTCGGGGCTAAGTGTCCACTCCCGATCTGTGGTATCAGACCTCCGCCTCGGACGGGCTTTTATGATGATTTGATTTCATCAAACACTCTCCCAGCATTTGGCCCTCATAATATCTAGGTCGGCTTCATTGGTTGGAACATAATTGTCTATGGTCAATGCACATCTAATGTGAGCCATCCCTCTAAGGTATCGACAGCGAAATCTAATTCCTTGGCCATTGAGATGCATAGAGGTGTTCTCAGTCCCCTCCACCCCTAGGGTATCGAGAGTTACTACAATTCTTGATTTTGGAACCTCTGTGATGAACTTTCAAATGACAGGGAGTACTCCCGTGGATGCATTCCCCGTCGAGGGGAATGCATCGCTTGTAAGGCCGAATATTCTCTAAGGAAATATCTCTCTTATCATCTCTGACTACATTAGTGACAAGGGCGTGTCCAGCATTTTCTATCGGGGGGGGGCAAGTACTTTTTTCCGATGGATAAATTAATCAATGAGGAGGAAATCAAAGACAGCTTTCCAAAAGTCGACCGAGGAAGTATGAACCTCAGGGTATCGGTAGGGCCATGGCCCCTTACCCTCCCCCCCCGAGGGCAACGGCTACCAGTTGATCACTTTCGAACATCCTGTATCAATGACAGCGATTCCGCAGATCTTCACGAGTCGCTGGCAACCTCGCTGTTTCAGCCGAATACCGCTCGACTCGGGCAAGATGCTCGTTAAGTACCATTAGTGACTCATGGGGGTCATGCACATTTGTAGGCGACAATCTCAGCCCGAGCCTCAAGGAAGAATTCGATAAGTAGTTTCTGATCCATGATCCGCGGGAGCCCTAAGGGGGACCCGATTGATTGATATCTATGGCTATCCTTCCCCGCAAGCTCCCAAGAGTTGACGAAATCGGAGGTCACGACGCGGAATGACCATCCACCGCGAACGACGCATTTGCGCGACCATGAATAGGTATGCTTCATGCGCTAATTGAGCTGTTCAATCCCGCCTTTCATGCGTCTCGGGAGTTACGCGCATATCGTCATGCTCTCAATCTAGCATCCTCGACATGAGTATGAGCTCCGTCGACGGAAGTACCGAGAACGATTTCTTCAACTGTCGAGGGAAGAATCCGCGGCAGGTCACTTCCTGCTTGAGAAGAGACGAGCTGACCCGATAGCGGGTTGGAACCATAGGCATTGCACTCTCCGCCGAAGTCCAACTCTCGATCGAAATCGATCCGCCGAGACTTCACGGTCTGATAGCGCTGACTCGATGACGGCTCTGAAGGGTCTGAGTCATGGAGTGCAGAATTTCTTGGAAAGAACAGTCTCGCCTTCGGAAGATGCGGAAGCCGATCAGCATCAGAATACCGTCCAACCTGATAGAGAAAGGAAGGGAGATTGAGGCCCTCCTCTCCTCCTCTCCTGTTCACCTGTAGACAGCAGTAAGCTGGGAGTTTGAGTTGAGTTCCATTTGAGTAATTTGCAAGAGAGGGAAGGAGCGTCATTCTTCAATCATAGAGGAGTTCCTTATCAGTCTAAGATCTGAGTCTCTTCATCAGAAAACTACAAAAAGGCACAGGACCGGTCTCGCAACCATGATAACTTTCCGTTCCTCTGGTTTCAGGTTTCTCCGAGCTGTCAGAGCCTCATCCACGGATTGTTTCCAGAGAGTTTCCAAACGCCGCGCCTGACCATCTCTATGACATCCTTGTACTGCATGCGTTTCAAATATAACACGTGTCGCCATTCACTAAAGTCACTTGTTATTTTTACAGTTTCGTCGTCGTCCGATGCGATTCTGACTTGCGATTTGTGCGAATACGAGACGGTGCGCCCTAATCATCTGCAGCGGCACGCCCTGATACACTCGGGAGAGAAACCCCACGCCTGCCGTCAGTGCGATTTCAGATGTGCGCGTCAAGATGCCCTACGGCAGCACGAGCGGACGCATGCCCGAACCAATCCTCTAACGTGCGCATCGTGCGGCTTCCTGTCTGAGGATGTCGCTGAAGCCCTTGTGCACCAAATCGTTCACTACAACAAGTGCGCGGTTTGCGGGAGCGTCCACCACTCCGTGCGGGCGTTGCGTTTGCATGAGCGTAAGCACGTGAAATGCTGCAGCTTTTGTAAGTTCACCTCGAAAGACGCGGAGCAGATCACGGTTCATGAAGCGGAGGAGCACTTGGATATCGGGGGCGTCTAGAAAACTGGAAATATCTACGGAGGCAAGCCTTAGGTAAACTTAGACCTTTCAAATTGATATCGTGCTAATATATTTTCGTAGGAACCGTGTGTACGATAAAGTTTATGGTAACCATTCGTGATGTGATTTTCTTCCGGGGATTTGACTTGTTCAGCCGCAAGCTGTGCGGATTGAGAACAAAAGTCGGGGGGCTTCTTAGACTGGCAAGTTCCAGCAGATGGGTCGTCGGATCGGGACCACTTGCCCAGAAGCGAAGCGAAAGATCAAGTTCTTGCGAATCACAATGGCGGAAAAATGCGAGAGCCACTCGAGGCTCCATAGGAAAGGAACCTCAGCGAGAGAGCCCGGCCTGTGTACTGTAGGGGGAGCGGGGATCGAAGCAACTATCATAAGATAGTTTCGAGTCGGATCCGTTGGTAGTGCTCAGGATCTTCGCTAGAGTCTCATGGCCGCGTTTGGAGTCGACGGCATGATCCCTTCGAGGTCTTTCCGGCAGCCTGTCATAATTTATGCTTAAAATTCAGTAGCGCAATAAATGAATAATATTCCCACCCAGCGTATTCTCTTTACTTGCCTGAAAGCCGTCACGACATGGATTGTCATTTTATTCCATTGATCGCCGAGCCGACGGGATCATCACATGTTCGCCCGAGCTGTTGGGCGGATCTACCGGTCAATCGGACTCCGCTCATCGAAGGTGAGAGCGTACAGATTCGAATAGCGCAGGTACCGCGGAAGCCCCTCCCACATTCAGAGCACTCCGGAGACCTGCGGACCCGAGTCTCCAAGATTTGCTCAAGAGCTCGAGAACAAACCTTCCAACCAATCGGAGTGATCATCGGCTTCCTGCGATGGTCAATGCATCCAGAGACTCGGTGAGAGTCTTCGCAGAGTTCTCAAGTTCGTATGGAGCCGAACCACGCGGGAGCATGACGTGCGATTTGTCTGGCTCTCGACTCGCGGGTCCTGAAGTACTTTGACCTCTAGAAGCTCCGAGTCATCTGGGCGCCGATCGTCGGGTTGAAACAATCATCCTTGCCTCATGAGGAATGACTGCGGTGGCGGATCTGCGTTCACGCAACGCGTGTATGCCCGCCCGACTGAAATGTCCATGACGGCAGTTTAGGTTATGCTCGTGCTTTCGCTCCGACTCGGTGGCAGGTTCATCTTCGCGGATCACGAGCTAGATAGCCTGCGAGCGACCAAATCTTCAGGAAATTCGGTGCCGTATTCCCTCGATGAGCTCCCGCCTCGAAGTATTCCCTCAGTATCAGGAGCAGTCTCTCCCCATTCCAAAATTCTAAAAAAGAGTCCCTTGCCTGGGAGCCGCATCATCCCACTCACAGTTGGGGTACAGAGTTGGGAAAGTCCGGATCTGGTCCGGCTTTTGCATCAGGAACCTCCCGGCCTGTTTAACTTATTGGCGGAGCTGGTTTGATTGGCGCCGGTTCCGCTGCATTCTCGGTCTTGCTTCTCATCAAGACGCTCAATAAAGGAAGTGAGTCTGACTGAGTTTTCCGGGGACTCCGTGGTATATCGGGACAGCGGGGACTTTTCGCGGATCTGCATAGTCAGATACCTGTCGATCGCCTCTTATTCCCTCACGAGTTTAAGATAGCCTAGGTACGAAGAATCTCAGGTGCGGCAACGATGACATCGGAAAGCGCTACCGACATGCTGAAATCCACCGGCTGATCGAGGTTGAAAGATGGCCATCCGGCGCAGAAACAACTTGACTTCCGCGATTACACAAGGGGGATCTGTTCATCTATCTGCTCTAGATAAGGAGCTTTCTGGCGTAGCTGGATCAGATGCCCGCCAACAAGTTCAGAGGATTAGTGGAAGTTTCCTTCAGGGAATAGGGTTTTCGGTAGCTGGAAGCAAGTTGGTCAAGCTCACGAATAATCTCATCGGGAGATGCCGGACGACATCGCTGGGATGCTACAGTGATCGGACGCTTCTGAAGTCGTTTAGGCTCACCCAGGACGTGAAATTAGGGCGTCAAGAAGGGCGGATATCTATTTCACTCGAGAGCTCAATCGTAGCTTTAATTGATCAGACGCAGCGAATGCCAACTCCCCTCTTCCTGTCATGCCGGTGAGGAAACGGTATGGTCGCTCGCAACCGTTCGAGCCGTTCTGAGCAGACCTAACCCCCGGTCGATCGCCAACGCCCGAGCCACAAGCATCATCGGCGATCGGCGCTCGATAGGGCAAAAATCCAAGATTCGGAATTCACCACTGGCTTCACTCCACCGTCAGCGAGCAGCGGATGGAGAGACTCATCCAGGCGACGCAAACTTTCGAATGGACAGCTCAGACGTCAGACGGGCAGTCTCCGTCGCGGCGGGAACTCGTTCCCCTCCCTCAATCCCTGAATCATTCCACGAATACGATGATTTCGTACGATCATTGTCGTCATGTACGACTTTTTTCCACTTCTCCCGGAGATCGCGAAGAATAAAAATGTTAGGATTCTTGTGTGCCATTGGCATCAGTATTTTTTCCATTGGAAATGGATTCATCTTTCGAGGTCCGTCCCAGCGGCGGATCCGTGAACATATTCTCTCTCCTCCTCGATTTGAGCTCTGGGGATCTCTTTCAATGGTTTGCTCATCGGGATCAACGGATCACGTGTTGTAGTCTCTCCAATATGTCAACGAAGATTCCCTCGCCGAGAACGGACCGAGCGCCAGACGAGGAGACGAGCAACTTTTTAGAATGGCCCAGTTGGAACACAATGATTATTGAGACATCCTTACTTGTATTCGCTGTCTCCGGATTATGTGGTTCAGTGTACTCCTCTCCAAGCTTTCCTTCGAAGAGAGAGACCTCGAGCGGGCCAGCTGCAAGAGGTGAACAACTTTGCGATGGTGAGTCGGACCCTCTCTATCTGAAGACTTTATTCCTCGACCCGGGCTCAGCAAATATTTGAGGGTAGCCTCTCCAACCGAAATGACGTCCTCTTCCAAGCGGGACTCGCTCTTGAAATGTCTGTTTTCGTGATCTCTACGATTATCGGAAAGATGAGGCCGATCGATCGATTCCAGAGGGTTATTTCAACTTGAATAGCAGAGCTCGGCTGAGCTTCCGGAGAGATGCGTTCGCAAGGTCCCACTCGGAGCGGACGAGTCAAATACATTGTATCGATTGTGGAGCGAGCGGTATTCCTGAAGAGGTACACTGTTTCAACACCGGTAGGTCGACTTTTCCCACCAGCACCGCGAATCGAAGGCTCGGAGACCACATGCAGCGGTTATGTCTATTCCCAGATTGCCTCTGCTCTGAAGCTCTTGTGAGCCTAATGGCTCCATCGGGAGAGGCGAGCGGACTGAGGGTGGAGAAATTCATTCAGCTCGCCAAGGCTCCCGCCGGCGCCGTCGAGTCGGGGCCTTCTGGGTTCTGGGTTCTGATTTCCGAGATGAATCGTCGGCCACAGTAGGGTATCCCATGGCCGGGAGCGCGTGGGGATTCCTCCAGAGCCCTCCCATACGTTGAAGCCCTGCAGGAGTTCGATGAAAAGTTCTGGCTGCGTCTTAACCTCATCTTATATTTTTGGGAAGACTTGACCTGGAACTCGGATTCCGCCTGGACATGCGAGGCAGAGTTCCCCGATGAGAAATCGAGGGTCGAGACATCACTAATCGAATGCGTCAGTGCCTTCCGGGGCATCTTCGAGCTGAGGAAATGCGTCCAACAAGGTCAGTTTTGATCTAGTATCCATTCAAGCTTTTGAGGCTCCAAACCATTTTGAAAAGAGCTTCTGCGGGAAGTGTTCAGAGAGTCTGATGCCTGCTCCCGTTTCCAGATTCCTGCGTGGTGAGCTTGTCCCCGAGAGGCCGTTCCCGCGATACCGGCAAGAAAGGTCTCATCCCCATAATCGTTCTAGCATTGGGGCTAATTGGTATCGTAGCCGTACTGGTACTCTACTTGCGAGTCAAGGAATCGCGGTCGGTGTCCCCAATCACAGTTCGAAGCCAGAGTCAGATGGAAGCTCCACGAACAGAGTTCACTCGAGCACATGAGCTGAACTTGATGAGGGAGTCGGACTCGATCACACCATCCGCTCCTCCAGACTACGATGCCCCGCCTGCTTACGAATCCTGCGTGAAGTCATTCCTGTCTTGATTCGATTATCAGGGAAAACATCTGTGGAGGAAGCGAAATCTTTGACTCAGCCAACCGTGAGCCTTCCGATGAGAGCCCAGAGATAGAAATGTTCAACCGAATTTAGATTTGTACACGAATCGTAAATATATCACGAATATTCTCATGAGGCGCGGAGAAGTAGTGCTTAAAATGAGGGGAATCAAACTTTTCGTCGTAGTTGTCTGTGTGCGACTCGCCGTCCGAAACCCAGGTCTCTGGTCCAATGACTCACCGAATCGTCTCTCACTCGCCCGGAGTCCGTGTGCTCTGGAGTCCGAGCCTACCGGAGAATCCGTCTCCCTTGTCATCATCAAGGGGAAGATCTTCCTGATTGGGAGTCTCTGAATGCTGTACGCTGGTATATTTTCCCGAATTCTGGGATTTGATGCGACCGAATGCAGGATTCACTGGTTAGGAAAGAAAAGTCAAGAGACGATTGAGGTGGCTTGCAGGCACCGGTCGTGAGTTTGACTCATCCGTCAGGCAGTCAGTCATGAAATGGCGTCATTCCCTCCGGAACCTTTACGCCTTTTGGAGAATCGTTTTCACGAACATGGATTGAAAGCCGCTTTCATCGAAGCATCTTATCACCAAGAGTCTTAAAGCAGCCTTTTCGCGGCGGAGGAAAGCTCGAATATTAATCCATCGAGCTCAAATTTCATCCACCACTACACCGACGTCGCTTCGGCTCCCGACAATTCAAGGTCCGATGTCGGCTTACGCCATGAGGTCGGTTCTGGCGGTTTTCATAGTTTCTGTCGCCGTTTCCTGCTGCGAGGGTGCTTGTGATGGTGAGTGCATGGAGAAGATCAGAAATGGGGCGAGCGACTTGATCCTCTTCCCCGTCATCTAGATTCGGACTAGCGAGCGCTGCATGGAGCCTTAGAATGACCCTACCCTCAATGATCGTGAATGTTTGTTTCCCGTATCTCAAAGGGGGACTCCTAGATTGGAGCAATGTGAGAGAATTGACTTTCCTACGGGGCGAGAAGACGAAATTAGACCCAAAGGGAGTGACTAATCTGAAGGAGGAAACCCGACTTCAATGCATGAGCTTCTACATATGCCTAATCAAGAAGGCCGCAGGCGGGCGCTGCAAGAAACCTGGTGAGTCAGAAGTTCTCAGAGACAGGACTGGGGCCTGCTGTGAATGAAATCGGTTGGAGTATCGTTGCGCGTCAGACTGCGCGTCTCAAAGTCAGATAAATTTTGGAGCCTATCCAGTGAGGCGACGTAAAACCTCGTGTTTCGTTCCTTCATAGACCAGGGAGCGTACGATCTTTCAAAATGGGTGTGCGACGTCGAGTACCATGAAGGCTGGCTGGTGTGGGTGCTGCTTTCAAAGCTGGAATGCGAGACTAGCACTGAGGAATGCGTCGACCCAAGTGAGTTTCGATCGGAAATCTCGAGCAACCTAGCATCCATACGTATACCCTGAGACACCTGTGTATAAGTGGAAAAGTCCGCACTTATACACTCACTGCAGATATCCGCAATTTCTGATTTTTGTAACTTTTGAAACACATGTATCGCTTTCTCGCTCCAACATTCGGCGAACATACCGTAAACACGCGATCCCCCTTCTCTGTAGACTCGTGCAGCTTGCGATACGCTCCCGAGCTGACACCGATAGGGGTCGGTTTGGTCCTGGCGATTGTCATCGTTGCCACCTTGCTCTTGGTCGGTGTATGCTGCGGAATCGCGAGATGCTGCTGTCCATCAGGGAATCGCAAACATTCCCGCTGAAAGAAACATGCACGTTTCAAATATATCCTCTGAGCCGAATAAAAGTCCTTGACTTCGATCTCGTCGGACTGAGTTTCTTCGTTTATTTTTGAAGAGGCGGCGAGCTGTGTCGTGGGCGGGAAGTCGAATTCCCATGATCTTCGCTGCGATTCCCCAAGATATACTGTGGGCTCTGTCTTTGCGAGCTAGGATCCATTACCCCGAGACCTTGAGCATAGCCGGCGCAAACTGCACGGCGGTCCCCCATGGCTGCGGCCTTCCGCAGGAAATGAAGTCGGCTCTCCGCAAATTATTGAAGATCACTACGGTTCGAGAGAGCGGAGAAAATTCCGGTGGAACTTACAGCTTGGTGGAGCCAAGCGACCCGATTTTATGATCCTGCCCGTCTAAACCTATCGAAAACCGGCGTGATTCATGCCGAGTCCATTCTTCTTGGCTGACTCTGCCGGCAGTAAGTCAGCAAACGTGAAATTTATCTCTGACTCATTCGTCGAAGAAGCTGTCCCATCCGAAGGAGCAAGTGCATCAAGGACCTCCTCGATCGGAGGCCAAGGATCGATGATTGGATGCCGCCGTCTGCATCCGCAGAACCGCGTCGGGAGTCCTGGGGGAGGATCCGTCTAGGCACTATTGACGTCGGCTCTACATTACGAGATGCCGTAGGATACTACATCCGACAGCTCATGAGCGGGCGACCGATATCTCTCTCTGAGCTGGACCTCAGCACTCAAAAGGATTCTTGGAACCCAAACACATTCCCACTTCCCCACATTCCCCACTTTCTATGAATGATTTGAAACTCCATTCCTTGTGCAGAAACGACACAACACAAGTTTCGGGAGCTATTGTTGTAAACGAACACAGCCGGAACTCGGTCCCTTCATCCGCAGTCAATCGCTGAGGACACAGAGGGGAAGATACTTATGCTCTTTAGCTTCCTGTGCAACATGGTAGTGGAGCCATTCCTTGAGATCTTCCTTGAGGAAACTCGTTAGATAGTCGCGGAAATGTTTTTTCCATGCCTCGCGAAGCTGCTCGTATTGGCCGCCTATGTACCAGCCTTGTTGAACGCATATCGGCTCGCCGATACTCTGAAACTACATAGAACAGCACCTCTCAGAACCGACTTTCTTCAAACCAGATGGAATACCCATCCGTAGAGTTCAGAGAGCATGCGAATCCGAGATACTTGCTTCCGCGTACGCTATCGATATCCCGGAGTTGGGTTTCTTCGTCTCTCTACAGGCGAAGCGGATTTCCGCGATAATTGAGTCGATGTAGCAGGAAACATCATGGTCGATGATATTCAAAGCTTTTCTCTTCCCCGCCATTTCGAAGCGGCGCAGCAAGAGAGACAAATGGATATAACACGGTTCCTCTGGGAAGCATAGTGTTGGAAGCTTTTGCGCGGAAGGATTTCATCAAGTGCAATGCCCGACGGAATACCCTCAGCTCACCTCTTTTATACAGCACGGGATCTCTGTAGATTTCCAAGCCTTCTATATGGTTCAGTCTGATACTATACGCGTCGTACCACGGAGTTTGTAACTTCGACAGCCTCTCTGTCTGATAGAATGCTCTACTTTTATACCGACTGTTGAGGGCCAGCAACACGGCCTCGAAGAAACTTCGAATTTCATCTGCGCTCGCTTCTGTAATGCTTCAGGCTGTGATCGGGACGCTCTACCGTTGGGACGCTCGCTCGAAGGCCTCGACAGTTCCGGAGCTTACGCTGACGCTCCAGTGGGCTTTTCGTTCCATCTGGCGGTGGTGGGTAGGTGACGTGTTCTTTCAAGAAGATCCCCGCAATGATTGAGGCTCCGAGCAAGAAAAGAATCCAAACCGCTTTGAGCTTCCTCGAAGCTAGCTTTCTCCGCTGCTTGGTCTCGGCGAGCCTTTTCAGGAGGATTGAGCTGAGGTCTCCGTCTGGGACTGGAAGAGAAATTCGTCGCGTCCCATGCCGAAATCTGTCCGAAATTCTCAGGCCCACACTGTCCAGGAAGCGATTCCCACCTATGTTTGAGCTGTACACGGGGTTCGCCACCGGGAGCGTATCCGTCGGATGATGAGCCGCCGGTACATCGGAACCGAGCTGTCCGTAGACACCGCGGTACGGCACCGATTCTTCTCTCCGAGTACGCGTATGCACTCTGCCGGGATGTTGATCTGGAAAAGGGCCTGCCGCCCTACAATTTCTGTTTGGAGGCTCCGGCTCGAGGCTCCCGCTGAAGAGTATCGGAATCTCTCTTATCATTCAGAGACACCCCTACAGTCGACAGGAACTTCTCGGGGAGAGGACTCCTGATTCCTGATGGATTTCCCCGATCCCGCTTATCCTCGAGCTTCGTTTTCTTCAGGGGCTCATGGTATCGAATTACCCCCTTGAAACATCCCTACTCGTGTTAAACGCAGTCCCGCGTATTTTTCCGTGTCACGATTTCGAGGAGAGGAGTGAGTCCGGGACTTTTCGCTCCTCGGCTTATTCCGGTCAGGGCGACATTTTTCTAATATGCAATCAATGCGCTATTCCCGCGATGGCTGACGGGAAAATGCTCAAAGCTTATGCCTGACTGCTTGACTTCTCCAGGCTCGGGTCCTCGAGAGCCTGAGGAGCTGGGCTTAGAAGCTATGCGAACCTTCCCCCCGACCGAGAACGACGGCTCCCAGTCGTTCACGCGCTCGAGGATCCACGCCTAAGGGATCATTGGAGATGACTGCGATTACAATATACGGGTAGATTGCCCATTCCGAGCACATTCGCCCTGAACGGCTCTGGGGTGGACTGAAATGAAGACAATAATTCTATGCATGAGCGAAGGCGGATCGTGGATGAGCATTAATTATTGTAAGAGCGTGAACTGCGCGAGTCATAAGTTCAGTTCATGTGTTCCTCATTCCTTATCCATCTAGACAGACCGGAAGATCTTTACGCGTACGGGTCAACACGGGTATATGGTGCAGATACCACGCTGGGAGATCTTCCATCAAGAAAGCATACATGTACACCTTGAAGCGCCTCTCTAGTAGATTCAAAATGTTTTCATACTCATGGATGGTGTAGAGCCATCGATTCGAACTGCAGTCTGGATGATCCAAACTCAAAAACTGCAAGGAGACTTCGATTCGGTCAGGAGTCAGATGGCTCGGAATTCGATGTGAGTCTGCATCATACACCTTAATCCAAGACTTGGAAGCAAGTACTAGCTTTTTTAGCCGAAATTTCCAGGAGCGAGTTCGGAATCGAGGCGTATACATTCACGAACATGATTTCCAAGTGGGCTGATCTCAAAACGCATTTGATATCACCATCGACGACCAGTGAGCCCCGTTTCCCCCTCATCTCTACACCCTCCAGTTCGAGGGTGAGGCGTACTTGACAAGGATTCGTGTCTGGAAAATATGATTATCATGCGTTATAGCCCTTCGAGGCTCTTTCATGCGGATCGGAGACCTACGGGAAGATAAGAATGAGCGGAGATGACGAGCCTGATACCGACAAGGATCTAAAGCACAATGATTATTGTAAGAAAGCCATCGGGAGAGACTTCAGCCTCAGATGGGTGAGGAAGTGAGATATCGGAATCCTTTCACATCCGACGGGGGGAAGGGAGGGGGGCGGGGAAATCATGGGATTCTGGGCTAGGTCATCAAGCCTACCTCCCGGAATACAAATGGCAAGCTAGAGATTCCCCGCGAGTCGTTTCCTTTTCTGAATCGAATAAGAGAATCGTCGACTACGACAGGAGTTGGGACCCATACTGATCGGCTGTCATTTTCGCGAGGACTCTACGTCATCGAGAGCGGAGGCAAGCTACGTCTGGGATAAGGGAGTGGCCTTCGGCCGAAAACTGGCTCCCACTGACCGGGAATGACTTCCGTGGATCCGGCTCGCTCAACATTGATCTTGTATATTTGCAGACTGTAGGCTTTGAACCTTGCGTATTCGAGAGTCGACAAATCACTCCGGAAAAAGTACTCTCTCTCCTTGATGGACCGACTAACGGCCTGAGTCAATGCGTCGAAGAAGCTGTTCCTCTCGTCCTCGCTCGCCTCTACAAGGGTGCAGACCGTGAGAGTGACAAGTGTTCCTTCGTAGACGACGGGTCTGAGCTCGTGCACTGTTAGTCTCACCCACGGATGGATCCCACGTATTGCTTATTCTCGGTAGGGGACGCATCGTGGGTCTCGGTCTTGTGGACAAGTATATGAATCCAGCGAGCGACGAAGCCAGTAGGAAGGCAACGCACAGACACGTGCATTTCAACGAAGCTTTCTCTCTAGTTTTCTCTTCTTGTATCAATTTGTGCAGATACAGACTGTTCCCTGGAAAACGGGACCGATAGCTCGACCGATCCCCTTAGGGTAACTTCTTGCAGAGCAAAGACTAGAGCTCTGACGTGGGACAGAATCTCACCTCCGAGTGAGGTTGGTATCGATCTCATCGCCGAGAAACGCTGAGGTGCAACAATACTCGACGGTATGGAGTCACCCGTCGGAAGAGTGAGAGCCGTTGGGAGAGCGGCATCCCTCGATGAAATGACGCCAGCTGGTAGAGTGAGACCCCTCGATAGATAGGAAATCGTTCGAGAAGTGTCCCTCATGGATAGACGGGAGGGTTGCGGTTTACAATGGCTGCGATTCCGAGAAGGGGTTCTCTTCCGCGATCGATGATCCATCAGCTTGGGAGGTATTGAACTCTGCGCATGGAATCAATCGGAGGTATCTGAAGAGCAGGCGTCGCTGGAGGAGAACCGAGGAAAGATCGGCAGTGATAGTTTCACACACTCGACAATCATGAACCTCTTCCGGGAAGCATGTCTGGACACCGATTCATCTTCGATTTTATCGCAGAAATCCTCTAGCTTCGTTTTCCGTGAGAACCTGCGATATACTTACTGACGCCGCCTGACGCGAACTGCCGGAAGCGATAGAGATACAGAGTCGGATGCCTCGTTTCTCAATGACGGCAGCGTGTCGGAGCGCGGACAACACTTCCTAGCATCGAAGCAGTCGGTCTCCTTGCAGAAGCAAATATCCCGGGAACTGCGACCATGTGAAATCACCCATAAGCTCATCGGTGTACTAGACTCTCCTCTGGGTCCTGTTTGATTGTGAGTGCTAGGGGGTTGGGGATCACGTCTCAAGGAGGTTCGATCCTCGAGGGCTTCCATTGGAATCAGACGCTTGAGAATGTGTTCACTCCCCCGGAGCTAAACTCCGGGAGGATTCAAGGTCAGTCAGCTCCCCACGCACTGACCGACTTTGTCGAGTCATAGAATTCACCCTGAGCGAATGACTTCTCAGGTGAACGCTGCTCATTCGAGCAGATCTCTCCTTGTCGGGGATATCCTCTCAGGCGTCTCGTGAATCGTGAACGCGATTTCTATTCGTGGAGGGATTGAAGCTTCTCAATCTTGATAAATCCATTCGGATCAGTGCTCGGGAGCTGCCTCTCGGGGAAAGCAGCGCGACGGTCGGGAATTCTTGTCCGTTGAGAGAGATTTCTGTCCATGATGCGACGCTCTCCCAAGAACTATTTCACTGTAGCGCTCTTGAAGAGTCACCACAACAATAGCTCTCTTCAGCTAGAATCTCCTCTCGCCTCCGTGAAGAGGATCATTGCACTCGATACACTCTCGTCGAGATGGGACTGACGAATGGACGGCTCAATAATATGGACGTTCTATTGTGATCGATTCAAAATAAGGGAAACATCTTGAGGTCTCCGCCGGAGCTCCCATCGCATCCGAGGCTTCGAATTGTGTGCGTCTTTCCCGAGATGGAGGTACCCGGTGGACCCAGAATTTGGAGGTACTGGGTGATCTTCTCGATCTGCTTGGGCACTCTGTCGTGCGATGAGACAACCCCCTCGAACGACTTGCCCATCGACGAGCTTCTCAATGCTCCCTCGTATTCTGTGAAGGGTTCGGATCACGAGATCTGTCCACGTGAGTATTTCCGCATAAGAGCTTCAAGCTCAGGCTTCCATTCGGGGTGATAAGCGACTTTGCTGCTCGAAGACAACACGACGGCTCCATTTTCTTTGTATCCACAGCGGGGTACACCTTCTTGCCGTCGATTCACACACGTTTTTTCGCTGCGACGGCGACCGCGACGCGAATTCGTGCCCTACTCGATGACTATAGTCAGTTACAATGCGTCAACTCCCCTCAGTGTCATGATTCGAAATCGATTCCCGGCGCAGTGGTATGCCTACTCAACTGTAAGAACCGCGGTCGCTGGATTTCACAATACTTGCCGCATGCCTCATTCCATGAGAAATCCAAAGCCGAGTAGCGGACTTGATCGCTAATTGGAAACTATCGCTTTTTTCAGTTTCACACAGAGGAGCCGAGTGGAATTGTACCGTGGCCGATGACTCGACGAAATCCATCGCGAACGCTGTCGTAGAATGCGAACATCTCGAATCATTCTTCTTCTGCGTGCTGGACGGTTGTATGACCTTGGGTCTTTCGCAAAATTATGAACTTCGATGAAGTTACCTAGGCTATCAGTCGCGGCGGTCCGCCTTCGACTCGGATTTGCGAAGAATGCAATGGGTGTTGATCATGACTCTGAACGTACCATGATACATGATATGTCGTTGACTCTCGCAGAAAAAAATCTGGGCTCGACGGCGATCACTAAAGACGAACGAGTTCATACTATAGGTACTCTCTGGGTGACGAGGTGTTATACTCTAAATGACTTTTTCAGATTCGTGCATTCTCCGATTCGAACTGGGAAGCTGGAATACTTGGAAAACCGTAGCTGTTGCCACAGGGGCGGTCATATCTATTGGCATCATCGGAGTCTTCGTCGCCTGGAAACTCAGACAAAGATAGCGCGCCGATGGTCATTGCGTCGAGCGGCCCGAGCTCAAAAACGGCGCGAACTTCTGATCTACTGTACCGATGTTCTTCACATGACGAAAACGAGGGAGGCTGCACCTCGTAGCGCGTCGTCTGCGCCGGATAGCACCAGATTTTCCCGCAGCGAATCGCTGAATAAATCCGAGTGTCCGAGCCCAACGCCCGAGAGATCTACGACGAAGCCGCACGACTCGATCAGGCTTCCGGTCTTTATTTAACACTCCGTGCCCACCATTGGAGGACAAATCGGCCTCCTCGAATGGAAATACAGACTATAGGGCAAATCACATTCAAGCTTCCTAAGCCAAATTCATGAACACAATAGTACGCTGCGCGCCGACAGATTGGAGATTCCGGTTCGACTGTCAGGACGGCAATCTGGAGCGAGACTGGTACCTTTGCTCGTTTCTCGTACACTCGAACCATTCAGAATACGCGGCATTCTCTCGTCGTCCGTTGTCTCCCGTTTCCACCGGCGCCTGGAAGGAATAGATTGAGGATCTACGTTCCATTAATCGATGTATGTCTCGGCTTATGCGGAAGATCCTCTCATTGAAAGCTAGTCCGACGGTACACATGTCTTGTCACATTCAAGAACATAGTTAGGATTTCTGAGCAAGATTCAACAATTGAACCCAGGAACGGACTCCCGCGGAACTGACCCAGCGGAGGCCTAGGGTGAAGATTCTCTCCATGCTGATTGATCAGAACTTATTGTGAAGTGCGAGTGGAGGCTCACCTTGGCAATTAAATTACCACAGACGTGAGTTCGATTAGTGTTGTTAGCTCGTGATCCCCGGGATGAGCTACTTTATCTTACTTGAGGCTTCATCGGATCCCTGTCTGTCCCGGAGTCGCTTCTTCTTTTCCGTTTCCACTTTCTCGATGAGAAATGCCTCTTTCTCTTCGGGAGACATAAGCTTAATTCGAATTTGTTCGAATATGCTCAACTTTAGGGTTTTGATGATTTCTTCGGTTTCGGAGTCTGTTTTTCCCGTCCCGTCGACCCTCGACTCGGATTCGCCGGAATGTTTGACCCTCGGCAGTTCGGCAATGACTGCGCCGTCAGGCAGTAAATCGGGCCGGAAACCAGGCGACACCTGGTTCGCTGGTGGCTTGTTCGACATTCTTCTGTAAAAGCGAATGTCATGTCATGAAACAATGACGCTCGACAATTAATGAGGTGATCGATAGGAAATGGGGATAGCCTGCGGGACCCCGCAAGGTGCTTGTTTCCGGCTCCGAGGCCCACGGATCATCGCTCGGAGTTCACTTTCGAAAATTATGTCAGATTTCTCACGCAGCTCGAAAACTATGGACTCCCTCCGAAGGATGAAGGAGCATTCCAGAAGTCAGCGATATGGATTTTCCGAATCTGCGGCGTCACATCTCCCTATCAATGTTCCGTGTATCGAGAAGATAGCTATTTTTGAGTCACCAGGTACCCCCACTAATCCCCCACATAATCGCTAGACTATATCTCTCGTTCGCACCACGATGTTCGGTTAGAAAACAAACAAAGAGATACGTGGACCCTCGATCAATGCACATTGCACGTAATCGTCAGAAAACTCTTACGATTGACGAAGCATCATGGCGGGTCGAAAATTCGTGAATGGCCAAAAAATATGTCTCCAGCTTAGCGTCAGGTCTCTACCAAGTTATCGCGCGCCCGTCTTTTCCGGGCTCCATGCTCATCAGCCTCTTCGTATATATATTCCAGTGGGAGTGGAGCCGCTAGGAGCTCGACTCGATCATGATTCATGATCAATTATTGTCTCGAAAATGAGTTGGAAGGGCCTCGATTATTGGTGACGTGATTGTATGGATTTCTCCGCTCAAATTAAACGGAATCCTCGGAGCAAAACTTCCGTTCAACATTCGAGACTATCGCACAATCTCGACCTGGAATTTCCCTTCCGAATAGTTGTTCTGCTCGCATCAATTTGGCCGCCATGACACTCGTGGGCGCAGCCGCCATTATGTGAGAACTTCATATGGGCCAGCGACGTACCTTCCGCAGAATCTGCGCTATGTCACGAAAGCACCATCCCGGTACATGTAGTTCACCATGTAAACAAAACGAAAACACTGAAAAATATAGTCCCAACGGAAAAACACAGGGAAGTCAACGAGTTGCTCGTAGGTTCTCACACAGCAATAGCTAGGTATCCCGGGGATCCCCTTTCCCTCACAGAGAGGGCGCACCAAAAGTGCCTTCCTTTCGGGAAGGCTTCCAACGACTGCAGGCCAAACTCCGGAAACCACAATGATGCACCCATGTCAGTAGAGCTCGGCTCTCTCAAGAGGCAACTCACCTCTTCAACGAGCACAAGGGACTTTTGTGAACGCCCCGCGGAGTTTCCTAGCGAAGCTGAACCGCCCTCGTCAATCGCGGCCGTCGTCGTCTCGATTGTGCTGCGCATCGAATGTCGATGTACATGAGAGTTCTCCGAATCTCGAGTTCCACTGGGAGCTGTGTGTCCTAGGCAATGCCATTTTAAAATGGATGTGTTCTGTCGAAATTGAATGAGGCATCCGAGGCAAGGGTCGAGAGTGCGGCCGCGAATCGTGACGGTAACGAGGACTGTCGCCTTTGAGTCCCATCCGGATACTCTATTCTGTCTGTTCTTTTCTTTCAGAAGACTTGACGACTCTTCTGTTGAAAATCAAGTCATCGACGCGGGACGAGAAGGCTTAGCTCCACATCGCGCAATGCGCTCCCCGGCAATGGTCAATACGTATCATGCCTAAACCGGCGGTAGAGTCGATTTTGATCTAGATTCCACCGAAAGCTCTGCGTGGATTCGGGTTCAAGATCGTTTCGGCACCCACGATTTCCGCACCGGAATTCAAGCAACTTCTGTGAGAAGTCCCGTGCGGGCAAGTTTTCGTTTGCTCCGAGCTTTTTCCTGGGCTTTGCTCATCCGGCAGTCACGAAGGTGGCGAACGAGATTCAAAAAACACGGCACGGAAGTCCACTACCACGAAGAGGCCTCTCAAGGGTTCCTTGTCTCTTTCTAATCTTCCCTGTCTCCACTGTTCTTGTCTTTGTCAGTTCACTACTTCGGAATGCGCCTATCACGAGTTCGATTCGAGAAAAAAATCTGAGTCACCGCCGCCGTTCGTCTCTCTGAGTCGGTCCTTATAGGTTTTCTGGACCCGACCGCACGCAAGCCGGGAGAAAGAGGGGGACGAAAATTCAGGTCCCCAGTGGAAAATCCGGGCTTGCCTAGGACGGAGCCCGCCTATTTGCGGATGACGACACATGATCGAGCTCCGGTCGCGTGCAGTCGAAGGGTCGCTCCATGAGTACAGTCTAATGGGGCATATCAAGTCGGGATGTCGGATGATCGGGGTGTTTTTCTGACTGAGTGACTTGACGCCTCCACGGTCGTCATACCCTTGTTACAGTGTCCATTCGTTGAAGTTTTGTTCTCGATCCAAAGGCATCCGCTGTGTGTTTGGTTTTTTTAGCTTTCCGCTGGCGTAAGGGCTAGTGTTTTCCCAGTCACTCGATCCGAAGCATCTTGACGACAATCCGCGTTCGAAAAACAATGAAGACGAGTTTCCCTCTAAAAAATGATCTTTGTCGAATGACGCGGTCCCGTCTACGATATTTGCGAAAACGCTCCACGACGACGGTGGCCAAAATGATTGTAAGGGACCCGCCTCGGTTCGATCCTGCGACAAAACACCGTAGCGTGTATTTTGTTTTCTTTTCTGGATACCTGCACACAGCCGAGACGAGGGAAGACTTCACCACGTTAATAGAGTTCCATGGAAGCCGTCGTAAACCTTACAATCAGACTTTCAGCTCTGTTTCGGGTTACCGAGCGTGACGTTTCAGGCACGCAGCTCAACCAGGAACAATCAACGCGTATCGCTGTAGGAACAGCTGCGATGCACCGGAGGAGCTCGCCCGCCTGACAACTGACGCCAAAACTTACACCACGAAATATCCCGTAATTTTTCTGGAGCTTGAATCTCTTCAGGGGGACCCCGAGCTCTTTCGTCAAATGAGCAATGCCTCAGAGATATTGACGGAGCTAATGATTTTCGGATTCTCAAGCATGGCTCAATGAGCTTCGCTGCGCCTCGGAATGAGCTTTTTCTGCTCCAGCAGTACAAATTTCCCTTGTGGCGAATTTTTGCACTCGCCTCGGACTCTCATCTCGCGCGGATTCCGCTCACTGACCCTCGATGCTCACGGCCACGGAATCGCGAAAAGCTCAGTAATTTGATGACCTTTCACCCCGAACAGTATCGAGCGGGGTCTTCTGGTCTTCCTTGCCGTGCTGGTCAGACCATCTGACAAAACTTCAGCGCTTGGTTCATCCCGCTCACGACCCTTACCCGAGTTGACCGGTTCTTTTTCTCATGTAGATCTTCACAATGTTCCGCTCTAAAGAAATAGGCGCAGTCGCGCAAACCTGACTTGTTACGCTCGAGCCCCGCCTTTCATTATTGTTGCTCTGCGAGCGCACCTCGTGAGGTGTACGTTCGAAGCTCACGCCCTCAGCGGATCGACGTGGGATGAGCTTCCGTTCCGACTGGGCTTGTGACTTTGGCTCCGGTTAAACAATGGCCATTCGTTACATTCCTGAACCATCTACTGGTTAATTACTCTCGTCGTCTTCCCCCATATTCTGATTCAATGTCCCGCGTGAGATTCGCCTGTCGAAGCGCTCGAGAGAGAGAAGAGCTATTTGAATTGATAAATCAATATGCGTGAAGTTCCACATCGACAAGCTTCCCCGTTGGCTCGTGGCGCTTCACAACCAACTTGTCGAGAGAATGCACGCCGGGTCGTGGAGCCGTGACTCGGATCTTAATTTGACACCGGCTGTCATTCTTCTCCGAGAGTGATTTTCATTCAGGCTGCCCGCGGAGAGACCGTTGATCAACTCGTTCACAGCCGCTGCCTCTAAAGAAAAATGCTCGCTTGACATAGCCACAGAAAGGCGGAGAAACGACGACTCGCTTTGACGAGCGATTTCACGCCGCAGGTTCGTTTCGTGATATCGCTCCCAGAAGCGATGCATGGGACGTCGCGCCGCCGTGTCAAGTTCCGGTCTAGCCTACCGCTAAGGATTTCTCTTGATGATTCTTCTTCTCCCTGATGACAGAGCTGTTGTCAGGAAACATCGGGA